GGATTCATTCCAAGATGATGGAGTACGCTCTTACGAATGAACGCTATGCAAAGAATCAATAATGATGTCTACGACGTCATTGGCCCAGTTCATAAATCTTGGAAAGATTGATAGAAAGTCCGTCAGGTCCTGCTGCTTCTCTCCTCTTCAGAGTTTGAATAAAAGACCGCATATTTACTCCTGACGGATGATCAAATAACACTACCTAAGGAGCATCGGCTTCAGTAAACGGGATAGTTTAGCTAGCGCCAAGTAGCTTTTTTATTACACACCTTACTGCGATGAACAGCAGACTGAGAAAGCTGCTGCTCAGTGATGAACCCGTAAACTAGGCCCCCCGGATTAGGAACAGCGAACCACATAAAGCCCCGCTTAACTGTGCGCTGAAATACTCCGCCCAGCGATCATTCGGGTGAGGAACAGTAGACGGAGTGGACCCCACAGACGCGAATACTTACTGTTCAATGACAGAAACCGGCAACCTAAGCCCTGGAACTTAGGGTGGTGAAATACGTATGGCCCCACTAGTTTAGGTGTGGTATTGAACCGGACGACAGCAAAGCTATCTATCACCAAAATTGAAATTTCACCCATTCTCGATCTAATCGCCTACAAGGGTAGCCAGGAAACAACAACAACCTAGACAAGTGCGCGTTGAACTATAAGGTTTGTGGTGGTATATACTCGATATCCAATACAGTGAAAAAGCCGATCTGAGGAACAGAAGAAGAAAACGACCAGACCCATAGACTCAGCGAGTAGATTAGCTATGAGAAAACGGTGCGACAAACGTGATTCGACTAGCGAAAGTCAATTCGCTCACTGAATAAACTGGCTGGCATCTCGTTATGACAAATGAATGACAGTGCAACATAAAATATTGCCTGAAAAACCGGAGTTCAGGAAACCTAAGGCAAACCCCAATGATATTCACTTTACTTTAGTGCTGATGGCTCTTTGGAAAGGATAAGCCGGCTCCAGATATTATCATAAAGTTCCTTGGGAGTTTGGTAAGAGAGATGTCCCCAGCGCCACGGCGTTTTTTTATTTTGAGGGCGCATCTCTAGTCTTTGCACGACCAAGTGCAAAAATGCAAGGCAGCAGGAAGTGATCTCTCTCCGCGGAAGTGAGGGGTCAATGACTAGTTTTAAAAGGTCAGTCACATCGACCTTTGTCACGACACCGTCATTGGCTTTATGCGGCTTTTAAACAGGAGCCAGTTGGCTAGCCTGAAACCCACCACACCCTGGTAGTGCCGACACTGTGTGTCTACGCGACTGCTTATTTGTTGCGGTATGCTACAATTTATTCACAGCAAACCTTCTTCGGTGAAGGTATCCCCTTATCCACAACCCGAGGACGCGCCTGGTAGCATTCAGCTCTGCTTAACCCGAGGGTGGGTCCCAACTGATAAATCTATGGGCTAGATGCAAGATGAGTGCAATGAAAAGAGTGAAATACAATCAGGTCAATGAGTTATTGTTTTTAGGATCAAAAACAGCAAAGTTGGCGCTGAAACGAATGCAAATATTTCGTAACTGGTCTATCCACTACTGTACGATGAAACTGTTCAATTGATGAAACTCCATTCAGTCACATTTGCAGGAGTTGATTGGATCGAAGGAAGAGAGGATTTTAAACACTGTAGATGGATATAGAAAGAGCAAAACTGCAAATACGCAATGTGCCACCACCATCCTAGGTAACTTATTGATTATTTTCTGAAAACTAATTTGGTCGGTCAATTCACCAAACTGGACGTGAATAGCATTCACCTATAATGTGCGTGGCAAATAGGTGAGAAATCAAGACCGTCCAGCGCAGACGTGTTGTAAAATGAAAAACTGTCACAACCACTGACACGGTTCAATGAGGCATAATGAACTTACCCAACAGAATGATCAGAATCAACCGAACCACACCGCTAGATAAAAAGTTCACCGGATTGTCAAGCCAGTTCTCTTGCATTGCCTTCCAATTCTAAAACCAGGACACAAAACACAAAGTCAGTCAAGAAAAACATGGATAGAATTTACACTTCTTTCACATTTACCAATTCATAAACCCAACGGAATGCAGAGCTGTTTGGTTTGTCTCATCAATTTGTTTTCCGTACGAGTCATGCGTAATTTTTCCTTACCATTTCGTTTCGTTTATTTTCTTTCCGAAGCGTTTCGTTTTCCGTGCAACCCAACATTTGTACAAAACAATATTAGTCTATCGTGTGCACCGATTGAGCATCGATCCACTTCACGGGTTTTCCCCCAAGGACCGTCTCATCAGATTGGCTGAAATTTTCACGTTGTGGGTCACGTGACTAACTCTCCACTTCATTCCCCAGTCCAGATCGCGTGGCCCAACAAACCGGCGTTTGATCCGGACTGGATCATGGCTGGTCACATTTGGAGGCGTGACGGAATGACTAGTCTTGTGTGATTGATCGTTACGCTTCCGCATGTTACCAGCTGCGCTGTCTGACACTGCACCAAACGGTCCGATCGTTGAAGCAGACAATCTCGATTATCTTTTGATTATTTACAACTTTTGTTGGGAACTGCTTGAATACATCATGGATTGTCACCCATGTGAAGACCTTTCCGATTCGGCATGTAACGTCCAATCGTGAAACAACCCTATACGATAAAGCTCAGTTTCAGTGTTTTCAACCATTATTTATGTGCCAGTTTTGATTGGTGTCTAATGGCTGCTTCAGTTGAATGAGTTTTCAATTTCAGTTTTAACAAACATTAACCATGGACTTTCGTGCGCCGGTTTTGGTTGCCGTCTTAAGGTGACCCATTTCGATAAAACAGAAGGATGAAAATTGGAATGTTGAAAGCCAATTCAAGTGGAAGATAGATAATTCGTATAGACTGGTATTAAGAGAATAATGAGTAGATGCATGAGCCCAAGTGTTTGCGACACCCAGTCATATCGCTCAGTATTTCTCACCATCGGTGACTATGATCTAGGGGTCCCCAGTCAGGGAGCCTAATGGGATGAAGAAATGAAGGGAAGACTGGAATGTTCAAATCAGTTTCAGGTTGATTGATAATGGAGAATTCATGAAGACCAAGGTTGTAAGGATACCGAGTAGATGCGCGATCCCTTTGTTGCCACGGGTAACGCACTCTTGACAACCAATAATCAAGCTCAAAGTAGCAGACGAGTCGTTATGAAACAAAGTGAAACGGAAGCGAATTCCTCCCGCCCTTGCTTCTTTACTTACCTGTTAGAGTATCGAACATCACATCCCATGAAAAGAACAATTGGCTTATCACAGTGAATTGGGTACAAGTCATGTAGTAATAATGGCAAATCATGTGACTTTCAGTTAGGCTCTGTATTGATTTACGAATATCAGTGAACCGGCATTGATCTGGTACATCAAACAGTTTTAATCGGCACACATGTCAGACCGGTGCACTAAGGGAATTCATAAACTTGAAAAAATAACTTTATTCCACCGAACATTTATCTTGTCATTAGACCAGCTACATTCAGTCAACCGGTTCGGTCTAATACATAAGAAAAAACACCGATCAAGGCAACCATGGAAGACTTTCATGTAGTATGCAAGCCGGTACCGAGCGCTCCATGTGATCACAATACTTACAGAGGATGAGAAATACCATAAAAGTGGAAAAACATCAGTAAAAAGGATCGAGCAATGGTCTTCCAATACGGATTACGCATTGCTCCATTCGCCCCTATTGTCTTCTCAGTCACAAGACCATATTGCGTAAACAGGAGTCGAGAGTTAAGGATCAGCTCAGTTTAGTTCTTACAAACATTAACCCTGCACTTTCGTGCGCCGGTTTTGGTTGTCCATTTGGATAAAAAAGTAGAAGGAAGATTAGAATGTTGAGAGCAGATTCAAGCGAAAGATAGCGAATTTATATAGACTGAAATTACAAGAATAATGAGTAGATGCATGAACGCCACTGTTCGCGACACCCAGTCATCTCGCTCAATGTTTCTAACCATCGGTGAGCTTGATTTCGGGGTCCCCAACCAGGGAGCCTAACGGGACCTATATAATCCAGTCTCTTGTTTAGGGTTTTTATACCCCCCTGTCAGGTCTTAGTTCAACCACCCTTGGTCTTTTCCAACCACTACCTGCCTCGGTGAACATTGCTCCCGTGGCAACCTGTCTGGTGACATGGGTAATACATGTACTAACCAGCGTAACCTATGAAGGTCGACTACTTGCGGTATTATTTGTGGCAAAAGGAAACAGAGATAGAGATGAATGTGTTCTTAGTAGAAGGTACCTCGATGCCCGAACGCCGCTACCATCACGACGAAACTGTGCCATCAAAACGAGACTGCACCCATCACGACGAGACTGCACGTTGACGTGGTGTGATGGCTTGAGCACTTCTGTGACCCAACGAGCTACAAAAAAATGGCTTTTGTTGAGTCAACGATCTAATCATGCCTGGAAGATCAATAGGTAGAGGTCAGACAAGGTCTAGTCTCCTGGTCCTCCAGGTTGGGGGTTCAACTTGAGTTGGTGTCTCAGTCGGTAAACGTGTTGGAGGAGTAGTTGACCAAGTCTATGGGCCTCTACTCCGCCTTAACCGATGCCTTTCAATGAAGTTCTTGGCAGAACTAAAGGCTTTGTTTGAGAAACCTAATTGCTCTCCTGCTTAGTGGTTGGACATCCTGGCAGTACCCGTCCATAAAGCTCCAGCTTGGCAGCGATCAGTAAAGCTCGCTTCATTGCATCTCGCTGTAGGATGATGATGATGATGCCACTACGCATGGAAAGCAGTGATTTCAGTCAACGCCTCTAACCCCTAAATTACAACGTGCCCAGCCAAAATGAGTTGTTTGTGACCCAATAGTTTGGTACCTGGGTGAAATTTGTGTGGCATCTTTTTTGGTCGATTCGAAATGATCAGAAGCTCACTGAGCGTGTGCTTAATACGATTGATTTGGATTTAACACTATGCAGTACTGTGTATAACACACTTAGCGACGGATCTCAACTTTGGATAAAACAGTGCGCACTATTACACCAGTTAGTGGTAACAAGGGTATACTGTCGGTCTACGCTGAGAACTGCGTATCACAGTAAACGATTGGACCGATGCAAGTAAAACATAGGTGGTCCGGTGCGGTGATAGATAAACAAGGCTACTTTTTGCACTAAGTATCTGCGCACAGAAAGGTGTTCTCGTTTTGTACTAAGTCTTATCATAACGAGGCAGGGCGCGGTTGGAAACAGGTCAAAGGTGGTCAAACGAAGATCTGGCATGAAGGTATGAAAACCGTGACCAGGAAATTCAGCTACATAGGTCCCGTTAGGCTTCCTGGCTG